GGTTCTATAAAGTATTTTGGGGAGGCTTCAGGTCCTGGATGTCCTGGCGGCTTGTCAATTCCTTGCAACCCCTGCTTCCACATTTCCTGCAAGGTTTCAACTTGCTTTCTGCAGAAGCACGATGCTGATAACCGCAACCCCATCCACTCTCGCGTTTTTTGCACAAATATTTTTCTTGGTGAAAAATTGTTTTTTGTCAATCCCCTCTCCCTAATGTTATGATATTTTATTTTATATCGCAACAAACAGGTATATCAATTTAGAGAGAAATGGCAGTTTAACACAATGGAAAAAGATAGATTGTTCAACAAGACTGTGATTCGAGTTATTTGATTTGGGGAAAAAAAATAAGACAATCAAAAAAAGGATTCCTAACTGACTCCTTATCCCCACGTAAATTCCAGCAGCAGCAGCAATTTAAATGGGAAAACGAGACATACTTATGAATTATTCAAGAAGTCAGTGGTAATTTTGTATATGCTTTTTTTTCTGCAGTTAATGTTATAGGAATTGTTTGCGTTAGCAGAAAACTGGACAGAAATATTCTCAGCAGAAGAAACGGCTAAGCGAATTATGTCATATTTATCTAATGACATATTTTGGGGACACCCAAACGAAAGAGCTCCTGTCCCCCGGCTTAATTGGCCCAGCCCTGACCACTGAGGTCATGAGCGGAGTGAAACAGCATATGGCGGGTCATTGCCCTTTCTCTTTCACTCTATTCCACCTTTTCTTCCTTGGTCTTAGAAATAAAAAAAATAGGGCCTTGTGGTGTGACCTAGTGGCTAAAGTCCTCGCCTTGAACGCACTGGGATCCCATACGGCCGCTGGTTCCAATCCCGGCGGTTCCACTTCCCATCCAGCTCCCTGCTTGTGGCTTGGGAAAACAGTAGAGGATGGACCAATGCTTTGGAACCCTGCACCCGTGTGGGAGACACGGAAGAGGTTCCTGGTTCCCGATTTTGGATCAGTGCAGTACCGGCCATTGTCCTCACTTGGGGAATGAATCATCGGACAGAAGATCTTCCTCTCTGTCTCTCCTCCTCTCTGTATATCTGACTTTGTAATAAAAATAAATAAATCCTTAATAAATAAATAAATAAATAAATAATTCTTTGAAAAAATAGCGACTATTTTAAGTTCTTTATGCATCAATGTAGAAGGACATTCAAAATGCATTTTTAAAAAGTAAAAAGCTGAGAGAATAAAGGATATTTCTGTGAACAAATCCATCTCAGTATATTAACAAACATATTATACACATAACTTTTGCTTAACTTTATGGACATCTGTGTTGATGTGCATTAAATCACAGAGGTTTGTTGCTTTTCTGCTTGAAAAAATTCAAACAAAATCTTTAAAGCGGAATACAGCACTTTCCAAATGCCTTCTTCCTTTAGCTGAAATTCTATCAGCCATTCTTCATTTCTGCAGGAAGTGACCCTGTATTCTAGTCCTAATGTTATTCTATTCCTAATGTTATTCTCCTTTTCTTTAAAAAAATATTTGAGTTCAGAGGAGCACACACACACACACACACACACACACACACACACACACACACACAGCAGAACAAAGCAACACAGCTTTGTAGAACTTTTTCCAGTGATCTGTTTGTTTACTCATGAATGTACAATTCGTATATACCCTACATCTCATTTATTTAACTTACTTTTGCTTACCCAACAGCATGTCCTAAGCTTCTTCTCATGGCAATACATTTTAATTTACTGCACCATTTTTAATGGGCACCCGATATTTCCTTGTGTCTTCCTACCACCAGATTTGATTTCCCAGGAATCCATTTTCAGATACTTAGTTGCTTCCAGATGTTGGCCCTGATAAACGGTGCCACGCTGACGTTTCTGCCGGGACTAGCGAGCCTTGGCAGAAGCTTCTGGCACAGGCTGCTCCTGTTTAAGAACACACAGTCATTTTCACTGGGAAACAGTCTGTCCACCAATCCATGTCTCCGGAACAATGAGCCACTTTGCATCTGCTAACGGTGCAGAGGGTACCCTTGTTACCACAATCTTCCTAACGTTATATTCTATCCATCTTTAAAAACAGTCACATCGACTCATTCTACATCCTAGGTGGCTGTTAGCACCTTAACAAAGGTTCCTTTCACAGCAGCACGAGCACTGATCAGCACTCCTCTATATCATGTAACAATATTTCTCTGAATGAACGGACTTCATCATAATTTCCTTCGTGAGGCACTTAATGAAAATCTGTGGGAGATTTCAATTTTGCTTCTCACACAAATTTCTCCTAAGGGCGTCATTCAGGAGGAGCCACGCCAGGCCACGCCAACAAGCAGCCGATCTAACCATGAGCGCTTCCTTGCCTCAGTCCGGCCGAGTAGCCCATGACCGAGAGAATGGATTTACTGCTCAATTTCGGACAAAGTTAAGAGAAGAAAGGGGAAAAAAAAATCCTCCCTACAAAGTCAACAACAATAATAAATCTGAATTGCGTCAACTCAGTATTCAGTATACATAAACTCCAATTTATTTCCTCTTGGCTCAGACCAAACAACTCTACTCAATTTTGAATTTATCCAGGGCAGGGGAACATCATTTATTTTGTTTTCATTAATTCAGAGTTTGTGAACTTTTGGATATGGCCCAGGTGCAAAACAACCTTTGCTTGGGAAGGCTTTTCATAAGGGGAGAGAAAAGCAGCGCAAACATGACTGGGGCAACAGGCAAAGGGCACTAAGGGAACAATCTGTGTTTGAAAACTCTGAAAGTTCATAGTAAACATTCAAATGTTAAGTAAGCAGCTTCATCTGGCCAGCAAACAGTATGTTCTCAAGACTTTTAGAAACTATTTCCTGAGCGTAATGTAGTACTACATGTTGAGTTATTTACTATTCCTGCTGCCAAGTTTTAAAAGTCACGTGTTTTTAAACAAATATGTTGCTAATCCTATAGTTTTTTTCTGTTTTCACAAATGAATGCAACGTTATCATATTACTATGATTCATGTGGCGAAATACCACAGTAGCTCAGTATATGCTGGCTAACTAATACTAATTAAATTCTCATGGATTTCTCGACAAGATTTTCTTAGATTTACTGCAGCGTGTCATAATCTATTGACTGTCAGCTAGTTGTCCAAGGTTGAACTGAAATTCAGAGATGTGAACCTATAGAAATGTAGTGTGTGTGTGTGTGTGTGTGTGTGTGTGTTCATATACAGGAAGGATTAAAAATGTTTACTTATTTTCTCTCTTCTTTTTCTACATATTGCTATTTGGCTTTTTCTTCTTTTAAGATTTATTTATTTTATTGGAAAGGCAGATGTACAGAGAGGAGGAGAGACAGAGAGGAAGATTTTCCATCCAGTGTTTCACTCCCCAAATGCTGCAACAGCCAGAGCTCAGCCAATCCGAAGCCAGGAACCGGGAACTTCTTCCAGGTCTCCCACACGGGTGCAGGGTCCCAAGGCTTTGGACTGCTTTTCCAGGCCACAAGCAGGGAGCTGGATGGGAAGCGGAACTGCTGGGATTAGAACCGGCACCCATATGGGATCCCAGTGTGTTCAAGGCGAGGACCTTAACCATTACACTAATGTGCCAGGCCCTGTGGCTATTTATTTGAAAGGGCTAGTGACAAAGGCATCTTTCACTCAATGGCCCAAAATTTCCTCAATAGCCAGGGCTGGACCAGGCTGAAGCCTGGAGCCAGGAATTCCATGCACATCTCCCCCATGTTGTGTAAGCACTCATGTCATTAGGCCATTTGCCACTGCGTTCTAGGCACATTAATGGAGCTCATCTGAAAACACAGAGATCAGAAGCTGAGATTTTAACTGGTTCTCCCATGCAGGTATCCCAAGGCATGTATTGGATGTGCTGTAGTGTCCTCCCCACTTTTATTTTCTCTAGAATTTTATCTGAAACATAATTCTGCTTTGTATTTTTTTTTAATTTATATAATTACTCTACGTGAGAAGAAGGGAAGGACAGTTGGGGTGGGGAGGTGGGGACAGAGAAAGCTCCCATTGGTTAATTCATTCATCAAACTGGAATAGCTGCACTAAGTGAGAGCCAGTCAAGGGCTGGGGATTCAGTGTGGTTCTCCCTGTATGTGCCACATGGTGAAGCACTTGGGCCATCATGGGCTGCCGCCACAGATGCACATTAACAGGAAACTTGAATTGGGATTTCAAAACTAGGTATTCCAACATAGGATGTATACAGCTCAACTGAGATTTTTACCGCTGGGCTGAATGCTCACCATGTCTTTAATCATTTTAGCTGGGAACCTTTGATAAATAACATTTCTGATTTTATGTTTGTATACAAGTAAGTGCCGTTGAATATCCCTAAAACTATATCTTTAAGGTGAATAATCTCTATTCTGATACTGGGGAATCAGTGAACAAAGACTGTAATACATTCTATTGTGAATACATAGGTTTTCCTTGATTTTATTATTTCTTAGTTTTAAATCCTCAGGTAATTTGTCTGAAGTGAACCTACTCATCCCAACGGGAGATGAGTTAGAAGAAGACTTTCATCACTGGAGCATAACTTTCTTCTCTCGAAGGCGTTTGTACCAGTCAAGGTCATGTTCAAAGGTGGAGGATGACTATAGAGCAGAAGGCAGTCTAATGGAGGAAAAGGGAAATCTTTGCAGATCTATCCGGAACCAGGACATTGTAATGGCATCATTATTACCACTGGCAAAACAGCAACAATATCAGAGAAATTCCAACTTACTAGAATCTAACTTGGACTAGGAAACAAGTTACTTGCTTTTACTGACTTTTTAGAGTTTTAAAATCAATTTGTGATACAAAACAGAGCAAGCCATGTGTTCATAATACTATTGCCATTTTACAGTTGCATGAACTACAGTTCATATTTTGCATGATGTGCCCATGAGAGATACACAAGAAGGAGGCAAACCAAGTGACCTGGAGTGTTAGCCAAGGTCCGTACCATGGCTGCTAGGACAGGGGTCTTCCAGCTGTGGGAGACTGAGGCTGTGGAAACACTGGGTGTTTGTTCAGAGCAGCACTGGTACACATCTGTAATATTCCGAGTCTGTAGAATATATATATATATATATATATATATATATATTTAATGCATTTGTTCTTTATACATTAGTTCTGCATTGGAACAACTCTGGGTCTCAGAGAACATGGTTATGATCCTGATCACATGGTCTTCACGTGAAGAAACTTTTACTGGAAATGTTTTCAAGTGAGAGAATTTACTAACTACTCGATTTGAGTGGTCACACCGAAGGGTGATGTGTAGTGAGATTCAGTCATCTTCCCCCAACTGTCTGTCACCACCCATCCACGCAGGTGATCTTCCAGCCTCCGCATCCTCCAAAAGCCCCCAGAAGTAAGAGCAGTGTTTTGGTACTTATTCATAATTTCAATTCAAATCTCCTTGAAAATAACTGCCCACCCGAGCTTTGTCCAAGGTTCTCTTTCTGTAGCGTGCTGTTCCTTTCCCTGTGCTCATAAAATAATGATGACTATGAAGTGCCTTCCTACATAGAGAAACTGTACATACAGGTTATATATATATACTTAAGGCATTTTTTTTTACCTTGTGTGGATGCTCTGTCTCTGCCCCACTGGCTGTAGGGGAGCCCCAAATATGAGATCAGACTCTCCAAGCAGTTTGGATCCGTCCGAGCCCTGAGACAGGGCATGTCCCACTGTGTTTAGAGAGCTGCTTTTCTGTTTCAGAGATCTGGGGTTCTCTAAATCACTCCATCTGCCACCCAGACCTGTCTCACCCCTTACATTTCATTGTCTTCTTTACAATTTAATTTTACAGTTTAAAACCATGAGCTTTTCAAAAGCAAAGCCTAGAAAAATACAAGAGAAACACGTTTTAGGAAGATGAATAGTCATCATTAAGCAAGCAAAGTTAATATAAGAAATAAATGTGGTCACAGCTACAAGGAATTGAGCTTCATTAAACTGGATAAATACTGAGCAAATACTGAAGGCAGATTTCTTGAAATCTTTGAGTTTATAATTTAAGGGTGAGGGAATTTCCCCTGAATTTGCTTAATGACCTTAGCCAGTAAACACTGATAAAAGTGTTCTAATTTCTGGAGTTTGTTGGGGCTTTGGTAAGACTGCATTTACGCTAATGTACTCTAAAATTAAGAGTAACTTCTTATGTACAACTCCACAGAGTACATATTAGGATAGAATTCAGAAAAATAATATGGATCCTGAAATAAGATTGATCTCTCTTGATTAATTTAAACACACACTGTTTAGAATCACAAGATCTCAAGGCTAGAGCCATCTTGTAATGTATATAGCCCAGTCATCTATGCAGTTCTTAAATATCCCAGCTCTCATCAGCAGACCGCCCAGCCCTACCTGAACACTGCCAAAGTACTTCCCAACAAGCCAGTGTTGGTAAGGCAACTGTTAGAGAATCTCTATAACTTTCTGTTTAAGTTAGGGGGTGAGGTACAGAGAGAGAGAGAGAGAGAGGAAGGAGGACATGTATCCGCTGGATCCTCTCCAGGTGTCCCGAGGCCAAAGCCAGGAGCTCTATCCAGATCTGCTGAGGCGTGACTAGCTGCCTTTCAGGAGATGCATCACTCCGAAGCTGGAACCAAAGAGCGGAGCTGGGACTTGAACCCCGGAGCTTCCCAATCAGGAGTTAACTGTCACGCTAACCACCACTCCCCTCTCTCACTTCTATTGTCATTTCTTCAGTTCATAGGAAATAAGTCGCAGAGGGTATTGGTTCCTTTCACCCTGCTTAATGCCATTCACTGAGGGGATTTTGATCAGAAGAGTGGCAGTTGGGGCAATTCTACATTTTCAGCAGAAACTGCCACTTTTCATTCGGCAGTCTCGCTGGTCACGAAAACGAAAGTGTCACTGGGTTTTGAAGGTGAGTGTACGGGCCTGGAGTCTACAAGCTATGCAGAGGCCAGGGACAGTGAATGATGGCAGTAAGGATTTTCCAGGGGATCTTCTCAGTAAATCTGAGTATTATTTTTTTTAAAAAAGTTAGATTCTCAATGATTTTGTCCATTAATGTAAAAGAGAGTTGCCTACTTAAAATAGCATACTTTCTGTGCAGAAATTGAAGCTCAGTTTCAAAAATTCCCTTAATGAATAAGTCAACAAACACCAATATCAGTGTTAGGCACTGCTGTGAAACTTCATAAATTGTTATTTTTTTTTAAATTTACAATTTCTTTTTAACTTTTTTTTTCATTTAGCTACTCTTATTCTTTCTTAACCATTTGTGTATGTTTAAAAAATAAAGGTTTACTTTATATGTTTGAAAGGTAGTTATAGAAATAGAGAGCTATGGAGAAAAAGGGAGAGGAGAGAGAAAGAGAGGGAGAAAGAGATCTTTCACTGGTTGGTCCACTCTCCAAATGGCCACACAGCCTGGGCTGGACCAAGCTGAAGCCATACCAAGGGCTTCATCTGCATCTCCTACATGAGATCAAAATCCTACAGACTTGGGCCATCTTTCACCACTTTCCCAGGCACATTAGCAGGGAGCTAGCTAGATTGGAAGGAGATCAGCCAGGACTCAGAGCACCCATTTAACAACAGCCCGGAAAGAGTTTTTTTAAAGAGCAATTTCAAGCTTACAAGTAATTTGTGGGGAGGAAGACATATGTATGTATGTAGCGTCCTCGTCCCCCAGTAGAGCTGAGTATCTGATCAGGGCATAGCCCCTGGCTTGTTGCCAGCTTTCTTCCCATTTTGTCCTCACATGGTGGAGAAGAGCAAGAGGAAGCAGGTTCTCTATTTCGTCTTCTCAGAACACTGTCCCATTACCAGGGCTCCAAAAGTCCCATCTCCAAACACCATCATGCTGAGGACCAGCGCTTCAACACACACATTGTAGGGAGTACAAATATGTACAAATTAAGATTAGTAACGATGTCATTTTTAGGGCTCTGATTTGAAAACAATAGACTCAGTTTTTTCAGTCTCCGAATGACAATCAACCAAGATGTGGTTGAAGGTATACCACTCCATTCTCTATGAGAACCAAGTTTTGTTTTTTTTTTTCTGCATCAAGACTTAACACTAGAAACAAACAGAATATTGAGCCTCATATATAACCGGCTATGTTTAATTTGTGCATGCTATCTCATTTCCTTGAAGAAGGTGTTGTAAACTAAAATACTTAAAATTGAGAATATTGTTTAGTGTTGGTTTATAATCAGCTGCTTCACAATGAAAAGCACTTGATCATCAGGACAAGTGGGAAAGAAGAGTATCAAACAAGTATTCCTTCAACCAAGCTTTGAGTCCGGTATTGTAGGGTCAGATGTTGAAACACTTCTATGAAATAGCACTGAGTTGTTTAACCAAGCTGAAGACTTTCAAGAATTTCTTTGTTTCATGTTCTTATTCCTAACATCCTAATGTGGTAGTTTGTTTAGTGCATCTGTCTTATTCAAGATATATGATATGAGAAAGGCAAATATGATAGCTGATTAAACTCACTTGCTGTTTAACTAGGCCAAATTATCTGATCAAATTTTCCTTTTGCTTCGGGGTGATCTTTGGGGAAATTTATGGAGGCAGATATTTCATTGTATTAAAGTTAAGGAGGCACAGTTGATTTTCTTGTGTATCTCAATATGATATTAAGTCTCACAAATTTATATAACTCCCAATACTAAATGTAGATAGTGATATTTAAACTCTTAAAATTTTGTTCTTTCAGTGGTTATAAAGTGAACTAGCTTTGCTGACAAAAATAAATCAAAAGCCACATGAAAAGGTTAAACACAATGTCCATTAGGCTGCAGGTTTCAGATTCCAGGTTTGAATCCTGCCTGGACAGACAGGAAAGACATTCAATAGCTGGCTTAATGCTGTGAGGAGAACATTGATTCTGTTGAAAGCGATGAGAAACTGGAGAGTGTGAAATGGACTTTATAATCTGAGAGATCACTGAAAATAAAAGATAAAAATATGACATTTGAATAATGCCATTCAGCTGGAGAATGGCTATCCAGTGATTTTTCTGAAAGCACAGGTATCGATAAATCAATAGATGATGAAAATTAAGTTTGCTTGACTTGTTCCTTTCTAATGAACAGCTAAAATATAGCAAATGTAGATTGTCGATGCTGATGTTGAACTCCAGAAAATTCTTTCTTTACACTTAGTAACTGCATGGAGTTGTTTCTTTCTTTCTTTTTTTTTTTTTTTTTTTTGCAGGAAGATTTATAAAGCTCCTCTCTATACAACTTGCTGGTATCTAAACTGATGTACACCCTTGACAGTATAGGCAAAATGTCAAAAATTATGAGTTATTACAATATGAGAATGTATTTCTTTTGGTTTCCAAGGAAAGTGGTTATATTTTCACAAAAAAGCCACGCGTGCATAAATCAATTCTGAATGAGAGCTCCATCTTTGCCTTACCAACTTCACTTTTGTTCCAAACTGTTTAGGTATAAGCATTCTTCGGAAAGTTCATAGAAGATGTGTGTTTTGAAAAAGCCTATGCCTGGGTTTCTATTTGTGGCAGCAAATTGTTCATTTTAGTTTTTCCAAGCAATGTATTAATACATTAGTTTCTCAGGGTGTTTCCCAAATACATGACAGCTAATACAACACAGTTCTCATCAGTTCTCAAGCGAATGTGGCAGAAATATTGAGAGGGTGTATTCAGTGAGGGCCAGAGATACAAAAGACTGCAATGATATTCCCCTTTCTCCCTCTGCCTCTATCTTTGATTTTTGACATAGCATATTTTTAATTTACATTAGTGTCAAAGGATTATTGCCTCACTAAATAGTCAGCAAGTAAAAAGAGCCTAGCCCAGCAGGAATGTGGGCAAGGGTTAACAGTAATTACAAAACGAACAGATGACTCCGGTCACATATTACAGTGAATTATAAGTTAACCACATATCATTAAAACTACAGTCGTATTTCATTCTTAATCATTGGTTTTATAGATATAAAACTACATTTAAAAATAACAATTTTTTGTTATAATACTGCCTGTGTGGTTTTTTTTTTAGCATCAAAGTAAGTTTATCTTTTCATTCCATTTTTCATGAACTTTTAGAAGTCCTTGAGACTTCAAAGTTAGCCCTAGATATCTCTCAAGGTTCTTGGGTTATGTGTTGTATTTATGACTGTCAAAGACTACTCTATATGCAAAAAGCATCAACTACATATAGAGGGAGACTGTCTCATTGCAATGCACTAGAAAGATGTGAGCTAGAAAGAAGAACTAAATACTGTAAATTTTTGTTCTGTGGACAAAAGCCCCACCCCCATGTTGGACAGACATACAAGCACCTTCTATACGTTACATGATGGGGGCTGCTAGGCTGTTCAGCAGAGCGCACAAGTAATACTTCTAATCTAAGTACAGCCAACTACACTCGTTCCAAACCCTGTTCAAGTCTATGTTAATGCAGTATTTGTATTTGTGTATTTCCACCATGGAGACTTATTAAGTATGTGTATGCAAGGGGGTAGATATTTTTCAAAGAAACAAGTCAATATGTAGAAAGACTGGATAAAATTGAGCTATTTGGAAAACGCAACTAAATTACTTGTGAGTCGGCCAACTGTAACGTTTGGCAAAAATACATTTAAATATAGAAGGATTCTTAATTTATATTGCTTTGCTGGATGTCTTTAACTTTTGGCTCAGAATTAAAGAAACAGTAGTAGAAATTTTAAGTTCTGATCCATACATTTTGGGTATGCTTTTGTAAGAAAGATAACCTGGAACTCCAGTACTCAAAAAGTAAGCATTAAAAAAAAATTAAATCAATGCTTTTCAATCTAGAGGATGGCAAGTAAAAATACATATCAGTGAAAATTAAATTCTGAGAAATTTAGTTTCTTTTTCATGATTTTTTTGCTTGTTTGTTTTGCATTAGTTGACAAATTCAGAGTACCTGATAGGCTCTAAGAGGCTTATCTTTCTCTGATTCAAAATTAGGCAAACATTTTTGGAAATTTATTTGGGTTAGAGAGATAGTGTTTCCATGCATTTGTTTGCTTTCCAAAAGCCTGTAGCTGTTTGGCTTGGGCTTCGGTGTGAGGTTGGGGGTTTGGAATACAATCCTGGTCTCTTACGTAGGCGATGGGAGCCCAATTACTTGTGTCATTAATACTGCCTCCCAGAGTCTATGCTGGTGGAATATCTGGGGCCAGGAGCTGAAGCCAGAGCC